TCTTTGATTTTATTTAATGATCCAAAATCTTGTTGTCCTCTTTTAATTTTGTCTAATTCATTACAAAAAGATATCAGTTTGAGTTTTGTGAGTTTTACTAATAACATGAATATTGCTTGAGTAATTTTCTCATTTGGCTGAATTATATATGATGTGTTGAAATTGTTATTAAGTATTATTTTAATGTTTCCAATATATTCAACATCAATAGTTTCAATCTTAATTTCTATTTCTTTGTATACTAATAAAGATTTAGAAATCAATTGACAATAAATTTTATTTGATATTTCTATTATAATATAAAAATCTATTAGAACTATTTTTTTGGTTAAATTATTAATGATATTGCTTCTGGATATTTAAAATCAAATTTAACATTTATTTCATATACTTTTTCAGATAATTTTTCTTTACTATTATTGTTAAATACTTTAATTTATATATTATCTTCTATAACTATAAATTAATTAGTTTTCAATTCATTATTTTTACTTTTTAGACAAGTTACTGATATATCAATTTTTGATTGATTATCTTCAAATTGGATTATACTTTTCTTCTAATCTATTACTACTTTGTATTAATGTATCCAATTGTTTTCAAATATAAGATTATAATTATCTTTTTCAGTAATTAGAGTATCTATTTTCATTTCTTGAGAACTAATAATAATTGATAAGTCAATTACTTCTTCAAGTGCTCTTGCTTTATATTCATTAATTCCAACTAAATTAACATTACTAGATTTTTGAATTTTCTAATTTATTTTCTTCAAAATACTATATTACTAATTGTTTCATTATTAATTACTATTTTTATTAATAAATTTCTAATTTTTCCAAAGATATACATTATTTACTGATTTTTGTTTATTTTCTTGTTCAATATTAATTAATAATTTTTCTAATATATTTTTGTTAACTAATAGTAATACTGATTGTTATTGTGATATTAATGTTGTATTTTATATGAAAGACTTTAATTTTTAATGCACTCTCACCTTTCAAAGATATATTTAAAAGTTTAAATGCTCATTGATATTTAAGTAAGTATTTTGTTTTTTATCTTGTTAATTATTTTAATTATTATTATTTTGATTATATTATTTTGATTATAATTATTTCTATTAAAATTATCAATTCTTTTGAATCAACAATCTTTCTTGAAGTGACTAAGTTTTTTATAATTATAATATTTTACTGGATGTTTACTATTATTGATATTGTTATTATTATTGTTTTTTCTATAATTACTTTAATTATTACTAGAATTATTAGAATTAAAATTTCTTTCTTTTAATTGAACTTTTAGTTCTTTCAGCTATTTAGTCAATTTGCTAACTTTATTCTCAGTTTGTACTTGTAATAAGAATAAAATAGTCATAAAACTTAGTGCAGTTAGTAATTATATTAAGATATAATATTTATTATTAGAAATTTGCATTATAAAATTAAAAAAATAAAAGACAATAATCAGGAAAAATTTGTTTTTTTAGTTTCAGAAAATTACCCATTTTGTTAACAAATTTCCAAATTAAAATCTAATAAAAATCTAATTAAAAATGAAAAAAATGAAAAAATATGTCCAGTAACTTTAGAACATGATATTTTGTGATTCACTAATTTAATCTAGATAAAAATACTATATTTGATTTGCCAAAACTAGATGAATCGAATGGTGCTATTTTTGTTCAGATTGAATAAGTGAATCATGAGATATTACATTCCAAATTTACCAGACATTTTTTTTATTTTCTCCATTTTTTTATTTTTAATCAGATTTTTAATCTGGAAATTTGTTAACAAAACTGGTAATTTTCTGGAACTAAAAAACCAGATTTTTTTCTAATTATTATTTTTTATTTTTTTTACAGGATAGTGCTACAGTTACTTTAAATGAAAGATTTCTTTACTATTAGTAAGAGAGTCATATGAGTTGGGAGAGAGGAATAAACTAATAAAATTGATCAATACAAAAATAAGTATTTAAATCTGTACCAATTTCAACAGAAATTGTTAAATAATTTTATCAAAAATAAAAAGAAAAGTTGGGAAAGTGTGTTCAAAGAGATAATTGATTAAAAAGAATTATTAACTAAATAAAAAGATATTAATATTTCTATACTTATAAGTATATGTTCTAGTATTTTCAATATCAAAAAAATGGATAACTAAAGAAAATATCACTTATTTAGAGTTGCAGTGCACAACTATACAAATTAATATTACTTATTTAAAGTTGTAGTGCATAACTATACCAAAAATAATGCTATAGCAAATCAATATACTTATTTAAAAATACTTTAACTACTTTTTCCAAATTTAAAAATAAAAGTAATAATCAGAAATTTAGTTCTATACAAATCTATATTTAATTTCTTGATTTCACTCAAAATTTATGAAAAGTGACTTGAATTACAAGATTTGAAGTTCAATCAACAAATTATTTTTGCCAGATAACTTGTTTTAACAGAAGAAGATACAAGAAAATAAAGGTAGAAAAAGTAAATAATAATAATAATTATATGATTATTAAATAATTGATATGTATATACTATTTTTATCGATTTGTTATTTTATTACTATTTTTGAAGATTTTTATATTTTCTGCTATTTTTGAAAGATTCGTTAATTATGGAATTTTTGAAAATAATTGTAACAATATATAAGTAAATTTAAAATATTTATATTAAATTATTAAATAAAAAATATAATAATAATAATAATAATAACAAATTAATATAATATAATTGTATTAATTATTATATTATTTAATTAATGAATTGAATTTATTTATACTATTAATAGTATATTATAATATATTATAATACTTTTGATAGTAATTATTTACTAATTCAATATATTAATTATATTTTTAAATATTTTTTAAATACATATAATTATGTATTAAAAGTTTTGTATAATTAAATATTCTTTTATAATTTTATAAATTTTTTTTTAAAAAATAAAGTTTCTTGAAATTTTTTGATGATTGGTTTTTGTACTTGATATTTATTAGTAATTTTATAATTAAAAATACTTTTTATATTATATTATATCTAGTATAGTTAAAATTTTAAGAAATAACATTTTCTAAAAAATTTTTTAATTATTTTATTAATTAATATCAAATAAAATCAAGTTTAATAATATTAGAGTATCTAATAAATTTTTATATATAAAAATATAATTTTTTGAATTTTCATATATTTTTTAAATTGTATTATATATAATATAAAGATCTAAATTTAATTTATTAACAATTAATAAAATTATACAATTAGTAATTAATAATATTTATAAATAAAAAATTTCTTTTTATTATTTCTTAATTTTTGTTAAATAATATATTATAATTATACTTAATATTTTTGTTAAAACTTTATTAATTATAATTTTAATTAGATATTTTAAATAATAAAATTAACTTTTTAGATTTAGCAAAAGTATATAAATATATTATTAAGTATTTATTATTTATTTTATTTATATTTATTTATTTATTATCAATTCAAAAATCTTATAAAACTTATTATAAAACTATTTATTTTTATTGAAATATAAATATTATTATTAATATTTATCATAATAAATAATATTGAGATTTAAAAAAATAATATTCACTTTCAAAATTTATTATTTTATATTATAACTTTTTATTTATTTTATTTTTTATTATTTGAATTGGACTTGTATAAGTTAATAAAAATATTATATTATATATATAATTAAAATAACTTAAACTTTATTTTTATTTTATTTTTTATTTTATAATTTTTATCTATATAATAATAATTTATTATTTAAATATTATTTATTTAATTTAATTTTTTTCTTATATAATTTTATAAAAGCTCAATTTTAAAAAAGAAAATAAATGTTATAATTGAAACATTCTATAATATAATTATTTTATTAATAATTAAAAGCAAAGTATATAACATTATCAAATCAAAAAAATTTTGCTTGAAAATTAATTAAATTGCTCAATTTTTTTATTTAATATTTAATTAATTATATTTTTATTGAATAAATTCAAAATTATATAACTTTTATATATAATTTAACTTATTATTTATTATTATTATAATTTCAATTAGAAAATATATTAAATATAAATAAGAATAATTATAATTTTAAAATATTTTAATATAAATAAAATATAAATAAAAGATTAAATTAATAGTTTTCTTATAATATAAATTTAAAAAAGTTATAAATACAAAAATTTTAGTTAATTATATATTTAAAAAACTAATTAAAAAATTTTTTGAATTAAATATAAAAAATCTGAAAATATATATATTAAAATATCAATTAAAATATTTATTTTGATATAAAAATAAAGTTAATTATTAATAAAATTTTCAATTTTAATAATAAATTTTGAAAGTGATATATTATTTTTATAAGCTATTATATATCTATAAAATTAAAAATATTTTAATAATAAATTTTGAAAGTGATATATTACTTTTATAAGTTATTATATATCTATAAAATTAAAAACATTTTTTCTTGAATTTTTAGATTTAATTTGCAAAAAAATTTTCTAATTGCAAAGTTAATTATAATATTAAATTTATATTTTAATTATAAAAATTTAATAAATGAAAATTTTTATTACAATATTTTTGAATATCTAATAATTTATTATAAAAGTATATTTAAAGAATTTTCGATTTTCATTATATTATATTAATAATTTAGGAAATTATCCAAATTCTCTTCAGAATGGTATACATATACATATTATTATACTTAATTTTTTTTATAATTATACCAACTGAAATAAATATTACTTGCTTGATGATATTGTTTATATACAATGTACCAATTGTTTTATAAATAGTAGCTGACTAGTTTTTGTATAGTTGATTCAATCCATTTAATAAGCAATACAAGTATTAAAAGTAATTTTTGAAATAATCACAAGGCAACAATAAAAAAATAAATAATATTAACACTCATAATAATAAATTTTTTTCTAAATATTATTTTTTATCTTGGAGAAACAACTTCATGTGTTCGTTTCCGCCAGAATACACGTCTAAGTACAATTAACAAACTTTGTGGCGTATTCACCCTATCTTTTACAATTACACCCACATTTACCCATTCTATGTCTTGAAGAATCAGATCATCACGAAGTATTTCTTCAAGATTTGATTTTTCTAATGGCAAGAAAGGTGAATTAGTTTCACTGTATCTTGTTGTTGATGTCGTTGTTAATTGTGCTTCATTTAATTGTATTGAGGGTAATACAACTGCGACTCGATATCTATCGTATCTTGGATCATAGGATATCTCATAACTGATATTAATAGAATATTTAGATTTTAAAAAATTAATGAAGCAAAAAATATTAATGAGCAAGCAATCATCCTTGTAAGGATACCAACCGTTCTTCGTCATTCTCTAAGAACATGACTTCTTTTCTGAATTGCTTTGCTAGATTCTCTTGATTTGCCATTAAGTGTGGGCTGTACTTGAAACTGTATATAATAAAAGAAATTAAATCGTTAAATTCTGATTCAAAAGTACATATCTAAATCAAAAACTACTTACCAGGGATCTCCGTCGATATTAAACTTTAGAACTGCGCTCTGTTCATCGATATTAAACTTTAGAACTGCACTCTGTTCAAATAGCTGACTATTATCTCGATCTGAATCTCCGAAGGCCAATCTTTTTAAACGATGGAATCTTTGCAATCGTTGTTTTCGCCCTCCACCACGTGCTCTGCCTAAAGCTTCGCCTTCCTAATGATTACACAAAAAAATTAATATTACCTATTTTATTCTGAAAGAGGGAGAATTAAATGACTGAATTGAATTTTACCTTCATTTTTCGTACACTTTCAATTTTAAAGCTGACGCCATGATGATTTCCCCATGATCTACTCTTTATTCGGTTACGAGAACAAGATGTATACTGAACTAATTTCGGAAGAACGCGAATAGTTACGCATAAGTCATAATCAGGGAAATTTGGCGGCCATTGTGATTTTGGAGGTTTCGGTGTAAAATATCCGGTATGTATTAATACTGAGTCATCAATAAATAAATTAACATTAATTATCAAAGAAATACATATGAGTAAGAGAATTTAAACAAATGATCTATATAATACCTGCTACTGTATCTGAATCGTCAGTGTAAACATCGGTACCCCATAGCCAGCGTTTTCTAACCTTTGTATTATCCCATATCAAATGCTGTGAAGGAATCCAAACTTCTAATAATCCATTTTCCATAAATTCAAGTGGTGGAAGTATTTCTTTAGGATTATACACCACATAACCTTTTACATAAAAAAGTATTCGTTAAAAAATGAAGAACCGGATCCGTAATAGAAAAAATAATAATAAAAAAATCTACTAATAATAATACTACCATCAACGCATTATACTATAAACGTAAACATACCAAGACGCCGTTCTTCAATCCCTTGCATATTTAGCGAATCATCATTCTGTACAATCAATTGTGGACGTCGAGGTGTTGTATTACTATATATTCCAAAATTATCTTCATCATCGCCATCCTCCTCTTCTTCCACTTCTACTTCCACTTTGCATTCATATTCCCTCTCGATCTCTTCTTCTCCGTCCTCTTCATTATTACCATTTATCTCTTCATATTCTTGATCATTTCTCTCTTCAGTATTTTCGTGAAAATTAATCATTGTTGTCGTTGACAATTGAAGTTGTTGCGTAGAGTTTGTTGGAGATGCATGACTGCTAGAACTACCAATGCCATTGCTAACACCATTATGATGATTATTGTGTGAACTAGGTCTCAAACTAGCATACGGATCATCCTCATCCTCTTCTTCTAATTGTCGTGATTGTCTTTGATCATCATCATCTTCTACGTTATTAATCAGTATCCTGGAAAAAGACATTGGATTATTGTTGCAGCTACTATTACTATTACTACTGCTGCTGCTGCTGCTGCTGCTGCTGCTACCGCCATTACTATTACTGTTATTATTGTTATTTTTGTTATTAACATTATTGTTGATGCGGTTCTGATGGTAATAAGGTGGTGGTTGTGGTGACGGCTGTAATGGTACTGAAAAAGAATCGATTGATGGTAGCTCTTGAACAGCTTGAGGAATCGATAGAGGCGGAGGTGTAAAAGGAGTTGGTAACACAGGTGGCAAAGAGTCGTTAATTTGTTGTTGCGGTTGTTTTTGCGACGAGAAAATGGGCTGTCGTAATTGAAAAGGTAGCAATCCATTTTGCGCGGGCACATTATTATGAGAAGGTGGTTGTGCTGGCGTTGACTGTTGAGGAGGAGGTAAAGTAAGTCTGATCCGTTTCGAGTTGTGGTCACTCAAGTTGGAGAGTAAACTGCTATCTTCCTTTGGTGAAAGACCATTACTGTCAGTTGGTAGAAGTCGTTTTGCTATTGGAGGTGGATCCATTATTATTTTGTTGAAATAACTTGCTGTAAAGTGAGCTTAAAAAGAATACGCTAATATTAGACAGAAATTTTTATGTATCGTCCTTCTAAACACTTTATTTATAAAACCCAGAAATAATGAGAATAAAAATAGAACGCACAAGAACACAATGTAAATTATTTAAGAATAGGATCTTTTATACTTGTATTAATGTCGATCACCGGACCAGGTTATTTTGGATAAAATAAAAGAACGTGACAAAGACGAAGCAATAACCAATCAGGGTTTCTCATGTAATTGAGATCTTCTGTGTCATGTATGATAATTACCGACCAACCAGAGATTTTTTCCAATATTACATCACCCTTCTCACAATATCACATCTCTCCTAGATCACCTCACGTACCAATTTAGAAAATATCATTTTATTAATTTCTCATAACATATCATTCGTTATAACATATGAAACATAATGCAGATTGAAGAGAAACTCTGTTCGTATGACACTAATTCGCTCCATAATTCTGCCAAAAACCTTATTCAGCTAACAATTTGGTGCTCCTTGATGAAAGAAGAATCAAAGTAACGACGAAGTCGGTGGAGACGATGAAAAAAGGAATCACCGAACATCAGCTGCACAAGCCAAAAAACATATCCTAATCTGACAATTCAGGATATATAATAACGAAAAAAACTGGCAAACAAAAAACCATGGAACCACAAAGGAAGAATATAAACTTAAACTGGGAGACAATATAGCGCAAGGCATTTACCTACAACTGGCGAAAATCGGGAAACTTCTCGCGAAAAACTAGGGGAATGCACACGAGGAGATAAGGCTTCAGGTCCACGGACCGACCAGTTATTATAAATTGTTTATAATGATGATGTGAGTTTAGAAGACTCCCAACATGCAAAGAAATGGCTATACCATACCAATAAGAAAGCAACTCGGAAAAGGATTTGCTCGACACCACTGCTAAGATCCCTGGAACTTAATCCGTTATCTTCACCGCAGTGAAATTGTCTACTAAGACCCATTTCTTGAATTAAACAAGTGGATAGATAAGAATTATAAGAGCGTCACGACCTTAGTCAGCCATTCATTCTTATCAAATGTCACCCGCGGCACACGCATTCACACCAATGCCCATAGAGGAAAGTAAAGAAATAGCAACACTGTACTGACAAGAAAATGAAGAAGATTTGTAATTAAACAGGGAAATCTGTTAGACACCACGAGTATGCTAACTTTGTACGCGCAAACGTTCAATAATAATAATAGTGAACAAAAAAAACGACGGGTACACTATTGACCAAATGGAAATTCCGCAAAACACATCTCTCAAGGACCGGAAGAACACTACCACTTGCAAACGGGTTGGGATACAAAAAAACTCAATCTTGGAAAGCTTACATCCAAGCTCTCACTGATATTCACCCAAAGATCCAATTTATCAGTTTCCTGAAAAAACTTTCACCCAAGTTAGAGAGTAAACTGCTATCTTTCGTTGGTGAAAGATCATTACTGTCAGTTAGTAGAAGTCATTTTGTTATTGGAGGTGGATCCATTATTAGTTTGTTGAAATAACTTGCTGTAAAGTGAGCTTTATTTTTTAAAAAAACGAACTAATATTAGACTGTTATTACTATTTTAATCACAGAAATTTTTATGTGGTTATTACAAATGAAAATAGAACACAATATAAATTATTTAAACAAGTAGTGAATAAGATATTAGATATTATATATTATATATTCAAACCAAGAGAAGAGAGATATTGGAGTTAAAATTGTTTTCTTTGTCATTACTTTCTACTTTTTTGTATATAACAACAATACACAAACACATACTGCATTACCTTACATGGAAAATCTCTCGGAGTTGATTGATTTGATCATAATATATTAGTTGTGAACAGTAATTTAATTATTCAATCAACAAATTGCAACGTTAAAAATTTTACCATTGTTTGAACTGCATAAATTAATTTCGAATTGGATATTTCCGATCCAAAGCAATTGGAATTCAAGAATTTACCCCTCCCCCATAACCATGATTTATGATAGAAACCCCCCCCCAATAAATAGATGATAATGAAGAATTTCCTTTTGCAAAGCTTAAACTAAATGTTATTTACTCTAAAAAAAAGTTTGGGATAAAAACTGTGTAATGCAGACATTTACACCATCGGAAATTTTTTGGTTATATTTCCAAACATCACTTTCTAAATCAAATAAAGTATTTATGCCATTCGTTTAATTTTATAATGGAAAAATAAATAATAAAATAAAAATGATTTTTCTTGGCACATTATGAAGTTATATATTATTCTCTCGATATAAGTTATAGTGAAGATTTTTTTTCTTGTCCCGATGTCTTCACTATAACAAGAGTGAATTGTATCGTCCCTTCTAAAAACTTTAATATGATGTTATTATCTATAAACCCAGAAATAATGATAGAATAAAAAATTTTGTTATCACAAAGAAAAATAGAACGCACAAAGCACGCAACGTAAATTATTTAAACAAGTAGTAAATAAAATATTATATATGGATAAATATTACATATTCAAACCAAGAAAGAGATATTGGTTACATAACAAACACACACTACATGAATGAATTGGAGGAGTCGATTTATTTGATCATAATATACCGATACTGATTGATTGGATAATTAATTTGTATGTGAAAAATGATTAGTTTTTTGATATTCATTACCATTATTACTGTTTCACAACGTCACTAATTTTACCATTGTTTGAACTGCTTATGGCTTTGCATAAATTAATTTCAAATTGGATGTTTCTGATCCGAAACAATTGGAATTTGAGAATTAGGATTTACCTCCTCCATAATCATGATTTACAACAGAAGGAAAAACCAATAATAGATGATAAATAATTTCCTTTTGCAAAACTTAAAAAAGGATCTTCACGATTATCAATCTCCATATGAAGTTTAGGATAAAAACTAGGGTTGTTAATGGAGCAGCATACTCCAGGTTAGCTCTGGGCTACTATGCAATTTCTCCACTCCGAAGCCATAATTCTATAAACCCAACCACTTCGTGTGACACTTTTGCTCCACATGGAGCTATTTTAAAAATAGCCAATGAAAAAAGTCAAATGACGCGAAATCACTGTTTCCCCACAGTAGTGAAAATAGATAGCATTTGGATATTGTCCTTTTGCAATTTATTAACAAATTTATCTATTTAATTTTTAATTTTATCTATTAAAATGTCTCATAAACGTAAAATATCTATTTTAAGTGAACGAGTTTTATTAGATAATGAACCTACTGAGAATGAGTCTAGAAGAAACAAACCGCAAGATCAACAAACTAACCGGGGAGTATGCTGCTCCTAAATAAAGTAGCTTTTATCCAATTAAATTAATTACATGTGACTTTTATAAATACTCCGGGAAACAATGAACCTGGAGCGGGTTGAATTTGATTGACCCCTTGCTCCGCTATAATATGAACCCAATTTAATTCACTCCATTAACAACCCTAATAAAAACTGCGTAATGCAGACATTTACGCCATCGGAAATTTTATTTCCGAACATCAAAAAAAATAATGCCAAAAATTTTATGTATGCTATTCGTTTAATTTTATAATGGAAAAATAAATAGTAAAATAAAAACGAAATAAATGATTTTTTTAAACGTCTCAAAATTTTGGTGGATTTATCAAAATGACCGTCATATCATTTAATACTGTGTCCTTTAATAGCTAATTCAATTTCTTGTTGATTTAAAGTTTCATGATCCACCAGAGCTTTAGCAAGACGATGCAATTCGTCCTTGTGGGTTTTCAAAATGTTTGTTGCTCGCGCTTGAGCATTCTAAAAAGATTTATCATATATAACAATATTAAACGAAATCATAAGATCAAAAATTTTTCGCATTATTCGTAATATAAAAAAATAATTTACCTCAATTAGACCTTTAATTTCACCTTCTATTATTAATTTAGTCTGAGTGCTTAATTGCTCCATTTCTTCATCGAGATGTGATACAGGACCAACCTATATACATATATTTAATGATTAGTATTTAAATGAACAACATAAATAAATGCAAACTCTTATATAGTAAGTAAAAAAAAATAAATACCTTATCACTCATTCCAAATTGAGTGACCATGCGCTTAGCCACTTCAGTCGCTTTTATAATGTCATTATGAGCACCCGAGGTGACATTTTCCTTTCCAAAAATCATTTCCTCAGCAACACGTCCACCCATACATACATCAATTTGTGCAAGATATTCTTTTTTAGTATAGGAATCTTTGTCCATTTCTGGCAATTGAACAGTCTATGTGCAATCAAAATGTTCAATTTACTAATCGATAAATACTTAAACATGCATAAAATAATAATATAATACAATACCATTCCAAGACTAGCTCCTCTCGGCATTATCGTAGCTTTATGTAATGGCATTGCACCAGGAGTATATAATGCAACTAAAGCGTGCCCACCTTCATGGTATGCTGTTACACGTTTACTTTCCTCTGTTATGACAGCGGAACGACGTTCTGCTCCCATTAATATCTTATCTTTGGCGAATTCCATGTGCATCATTGTCACCTCTCGTGCACCATCACGTGAGGCTTGGATTGCAGCTTGATTTACTAAATTTGCTAAATCTGCACCAGAAAATCCGGGAGATCCTCTTGCAATCACACTAATATCAACATCTACAAACAGGTGATATAATCTTTTCTTTAGTAATCCTTGAGAAACTCATATCACAACAAAAAGAAATTAAACCTTTAGCAAGTTGGACGTCTTTTAGGTGATGTCCAAGTATTTGCATTCTGCCACGAACATCGGGCAATGGCACAGCAACGTGTCTGTCGAAACGTCCAGGACGGACTAGTGCTTTATCTAAAAGTTCGGGAAAATTTGTTGCAGCAATAAATATAACTCCTTCTGTTTGTGAGAAACTAATAATTAAAGCAATAGAAATTATTAATACAAACAGCTGCAATACATAAACTTGGCTAGATTCTTTATCGAAAGACAAGAATCAAAACGCGACATACAAACCCATCCAAATCAACCAGCAATTGATTAAGAGTTTGTTTCATGTATGTTTGATCTTTGGGATTTCTTTTTGAGCCAATAGCATCTAACTCGTCTATAAAGACAATGCTTGGTGCCTTACGCCTTGCCGCCGCTTTTAATTTTAAATAAAAACACAAGAAATTAACAATTTAAATCAGGAAAAAATTGATTATTCATTCTCCTCAAATCATAATAAAAGAGATGATGCTCACCGAAAAGTTCACGAACTCTTCTTGCACCCACACCGACATACATTTCATCAAACTCTGAGCCGGACATGAAAAAGAACGGAACACCCGCTTCACCAGCAACAGCACGAGCCAGTAATGTTTTCCCGGTGCCTGGGGGTCCAGTTAACAATACACCTTTTGGTAAGCGACCGCCCAATCCAGTAAATTTAGAGGGATCTTTTAGAAATTCCACCAGTTCCTCCAATTCTTCTTTTGCTTCATCAACCCCATGAACATCTGAAAATTTCACCACTTGTTGTGATGAAGGTTCATATTCAGATTGTGATGCACCAGTCTTTAAGAGGCCGGAATTCTCTAATGCTAAACTAAGGAATGTAAGAATACAAAAGGCATACGTAAAAGTAATTCCAACCCAACGTAACGCGCGCCAAAACATATAGCCTCGTGCTTTTAAAAGAACATTCATAGATCAATATCAGGAAATATGGTTAAAATAATTTAAGAAATTGCTAAGATAATGACAGGTTTACCTTCTTCTATTACAACGTAAATCGGATTTTCTTTACCACCAGTAGCAGCGTGATAATTAGATAAACTGTTCTGTATAGTAGCTTTTTTGCTTGAATTTCCAAGTAAAGCTTGAACTAGCTCAGCGGTCGCAATTGGTTTAGAAGCTAAAATTGATAAAATCCGACGATTCAAAACCATATTTAAAGACTATATATAGGAATTATTAATTAAATTATTTTAATACCACCGCCACTTGATTCTGTTAATGATGATTGCTCCAATTTTTGTACTATATTTGGTAATATTTTTTCCACTTGGTCTGTTCGTGCCAATGCAGCGATATATGCCTGAAAACATTCCTCATTTTGAGCATATTTTCCTCGTTCAAATCGTGCTATAACCACATGAGGGTTGTTAGATTTCAAAAGTTCCTGGTGAGCCGAATAATCGTGGATTCAAATGATAATGATTCTATGTAAGCGACAATTCTCGAGTATAAGATTCCCTCTTTCTCATTTTATGTTATAACGTACTTTATAAAATTCTGCTTGTTTTGAAGGATCATTTGGAAACGAATTTGCTTCTGCTTCAAGCTGTTGAAGCCGTCGATGATTAACAAATCGAAAAGCACTATTCGTAACGTAGTATCTTCGTTGTTGTGCATATGGATTAACATAACCTAAGTCGACATTAACGATAAAATAAATGATTTGAAGATCTTCTATTTCAAGAGATAGACAAACTTTTATTGTTCTAACCATGTCTTCTAAATTTCAAAAGTGATATTATGAAAGGATTGTCATGCGTTTTAAATTGTTGGCTAGCCCAATTTTCGGCTGTTATTCGGGATAAATTTCCTGAAATATTAAATCATTTATTATAAATTGTTAATTGATGTACTATTTTTACTATTAATAACACAAAACTTGTAATAATATTATTAGACTTTTCATTTGTTTTGTATCTAAGTATACAAACCTGAGAATTGGGATAATAATGTTTCGACATTAGTATTTTGCAATGAAGGATATCTTTGCAGAATGGAAATTGCGTCTGCTAAAGTTGCGGTAGTTGCGGACTCAACTTTCCGAGAAACGCGTACACATTCCGGTAAATCACGAAACTGCCACAAGGCGAAAAATACAATCAGGGTCAATGGTTTTTCTGAAGCAAAAATCAGTATTACTTTTTCGAAAGTTAAATAACCTGCAAATTAGCTAAAGCGGCGGCCGATGAGCTTGTAGGCTTATTCTTTGGTGAAACAGAATGAGGAAATTTCAACGATTGAAGAAACAGTGAAGTTTCCGATAACAAGGCAGTGAACTATTGAGGAATATCGTAAGCAGGTAAAGGTTTTCGTTTCAATGCAGGTCGATCAAAGCATAGACAAGCGAAAGCAAGTAAGATATAATACCTGCTGGGCAAAGGTCAGGGAGTACTGAGCTTGCATTAAGGGCGGCGATAGCTAAATAGCTAATAATGAAAGAAAGGCAACAATCTTCTAGCTGATTGATTACGACACCGTATCAATTTTGTTCTGATGACGTAGAATTTTTATCTATAGATGTCTTGCATTTCAATATCGGTGATGTTGGTATCACCAATTGAAAAGGCTGTGTTAAGAGGGAACCGACCATTTCTAACCAAATACAGAAGTAAATTAAAACTATGTTTATCAATACTTTAATTAGCGCAAAGTAAAAGTATTCAATTAATGCGTGTAATTATAGAAGTTATATATAAATAAAAAAGATATTTATACACAATGGTCCCACCAAAAAACCAAAGTGAGTTGTTTCATATTTTTTTTAACTCGGCCCTGTATTTACCCCCCACTACTACTACTACTGGACTGAGCCTTTTTCTCTTTAAAGAATATATATATAGAAACATATTTATTAATTCGAACTTTTTTTACACTACATCTTTCAATTTAGTTATCAATATTAATAAAAAAAGTCGACAACATGCGCTCTTCCTTGCGATGGGGAATGGTGTTAGTTGCCATTTGTTTGTTCGTTTCTTTTACTATGCAAGTTTCTGCAGAACCCTGGTGGAAGAGACGTAAGTACACACAAGAAGATAAAGAGAAGAAAAAAGTGATAGTCATCGTGGCTGTATATTTAATTAATTAACTTTGATTTTAATCTCGTGCTTATATAGAAACTAGTTCTGATTCTGGGAACAATGGTGGTAGTAATGGTGGTGGTAATAGCACTAACACTGGTAACTCCAATAGCAATCAAAACTCTGGGAACAGTAATAATAACAGTAATAATAGTACCAATAACAGTAATAATAATAATAGTAATAATAATAGCAACAATAGTAATAGTACATCACCAACATCCTCATCAAATTCAACCAACAATAACAATAACAACTCTGGTACTCCAACTAACACCACCTCATCTGCTAATAAAACTACAAGTGGCACACCATATGTCGATCCAAGAAATGGACCAGCAGCAATCCAAATGACGACACCGGCTGTCACTCAAGGAAAAGCATTATTCAAGATCGGAAGTAAAGTTACATTCGGATGGAAATACCAAACTACACCGATCATAAAACCTCAAGCTCTTAATATTTTATCGCTAGCATCAACAAAAACTTGGTATACCATTGCTCAAAATATTTCTGCGTCGGCCACCTCATTTGAATGGAATACCGCCGATCAAAAAAATCCTCCGTTGGTAATGGCCGATTATACTTTATATATTACTGATGAGCGTGGTAAAGACGCTCCAGCAACTGCTGGTAGATTAGGAATATTCAATGGTCTAGTGTTTTCAATGTATTTGCCGCAATCGTATACCCCATTAGATGGTTCGTATTCATTTTTATTTTTTTCAAGTTATTCAGTCGTTCTTTCGTTTATTCGTCTATTTATTTATTCATTCAATATCCAATTATTATACAGAATATACTTGTGCTACTTGCTATAGTGATGGGTCATTTCCGTTCGTTCCTATTGCTATGACATTTGCCGTGACGGCTATAACCGTGATCTCTTTTAGTTTCTTTATGATCTGAAAACATTGAAAAATCATCTTTTGCTCTTTTTCTCTTTTGTCTAAGATACATATGCTATCATGTTTTAGAGAGACAAAAAGCATATTCGCTTTACATTAATTACGAAAATAGCAGATTAATTAATGTCGTACGATCAACACATTTAAAAACAAAACACTGACACCAACAAACAAATAGATGGACAATTGTCTGCAGTCGAACATAAAAAACAATGAAAAAATTGGCTTTTGATCAAAATTTTTTCGAAAATTTATTTTTTTTATTTTACTCTTAGAATTTTATCATCGTACATTGAGATTATATTATTCTACTAATAATTAATGGAGAAAACAGAATAATATTTTATTCTTGTAATAACACAAATAGGTGCTGTAATTTATATACCAAAAGTTTAATAAAATATTTGAATTTTATTTTTCTTCTCGAAGAATTGTGGTAAGGGTACATAAATCAGTAAACTTTCCAGCGTAACATACTGATCGACCAATTAAACCGCAAGATCAAAAGCTTGCATCTCGAAATTCTGCCTGTAAAACTGTAACAAGAAATGCTGCTTGCAAAGTTTTGCTATATAATATTGTATGTTTCTTTGTATAATCCTGACTAATGATAACTAATAGAAAATCTTATGAATATCCTATATTCTTATCTCTTGGCAATATTTTTAACTTTTAAAAAAAGATATTAATTGAATATTTTTCTATTTTAAAAGCTAAAAATTCTAAAACCAAAAATTCAGAAAGTTTTAGACAATCACAAAGAACTGTTTTTCAATGAAATCTAATGATTCTTTTCAAACCAATATTTAATGATCCAGAACTTCAATTTGTAATATATTATAATGTGATCTCTTATTTCACAGATCTCAATAATTTTGGTTAATATAGCTGAAATTAATAAATTTACAAATATTTATTAGCTATTAACTTTAAAGAAATCTTATAATTTTTATTTAATATCAAAAAATAATTTGAATAATACAGAATTAATAGATTTATTACTTAGAATTTTACAAAATATGAAACAAGAAATAAAAAATAATTAAATATGATTCATATTATATATATTGTTACCATTTGATATTTTGAATCACATGTAAAATATTATGTGATATAATTTTGATAATTATTTATATTTTCATTTATATTTTTCTATTTATAATTTTTATTTTTAATTATTTAATCTATCTAATTTACACATAATTTATTTAAAACATCAATTAATTCTTTTTAATATTGTATTATTTATTTTATTATAATATTATTGAATCTAAATTCCTTCTATTTTAAATTAATTTTGTTTAATATTAATTAATGTAGTACTAATGGCACTCTAATTTAAATTGTATCACTTAGATTAAATTAGTATTACACTTATCATTTCTTGACATTACACTTTTTCTAAATTAATCTTATAATTATTTTTAAGTAATATCACTTATTATATAGATTTGTATTATATTTACATATATTTAAACAAATATAATTTAACATAGAATAAAATAATTGAGAAGTAATTCTTAAGAAATTCAAAAGTAATTTACAAATAACTTAGTAGTAATTTTAAAAATAATAAAAGTATAGAAGTTAACTGATATTTTTAAATAATCTTTTACTTATTGTTATCTTTTATTATTTACTTAACTTTGACTTACCCAACTAGTAAAAGTTATTTTTTATATTTTAATAAATTATTCGTATTTTTGAATTATAAAATACTTGTTCAACTAGTAGAAGTATTAGAATTTATTTCTTTTTATACTCTCTCCCAACTATCTAGTATCCAACTCTCTCAAGTATACACAATTATTATTATCATTTTTATATAATTCTTAATTAATTACTATAATTAGTTAATATCTTACCTATCCATATAAGAATGATAATAATATATATAATATATTTTGAAAAATAAGATATTAATTAAAATTTTTATTGTTTTATTATAAAAGTTATTATTAATGATATTTCTTAATTATCAAAGATTTTAATATTTATCAAATAATCATTTCTAATTAAATATATATACTAAATTTTAGTTTGTTTAAGTATATATTAAATTATATTAAGTATAAAATAATACTTTATAATATATAGATTAGTATTTCTATAAACTAAATTTTGTTTAAATTCAAGTTTGGTTCAAAAATTAAACTAAACTTAAATCAAATTTTGATTTGAATTTAAAAAATTTAATATTTAAAATAAATCTGAATCAAATTTTTGAATTTGAATCAAATTTTGACTTGAATTAAAAAAATTTAATATTTAAACCAAATCTAAACTAGACTTTTTAATAAGTTCAAAAAATTCAAAATGGTAATTTAATTTTTTGAACAAATTTAAGTTTGAAACAAATTTTAAATAAGTTCAAAAAAAATATAAAGTATATTGTTACTGTTTTGATGGGACTTTCGAAATACTCAAAGGTATTTATAAAATTTAAGAAATATTTAAAGGAAAACTTCCAATGTCTTAATGACAATTTAAAGTATTAATAATACTTTATGACTATTAGACTGAATGTGAATAAGTACTAAAAGTACTAATAACAAACCACTTAAAGATTGATAACAGTTGTGTTCTTTTAATGCAATAACTGGACTGCTAAAAAGAGTTCTCAAAATCTCAAGATCAAATATAATATACGTATTAAAACGTCTTTAAATCTTTGAAGTCAAATATAAGATATAATATTCATATTATTAACAATACGAATTGAAGATAAGTGTATAAACAATATATTATTAGCAATACAAAGTCAAAGGTAAATTTATGAGC